CCGTTCTTGGCTGGCTGCTGAATATGGAGCCATTCCGAGTGGTTTCGTGGATGCCCATGCTGATGGAAGCCGCCCCATACTGAAGGTTCCGCGACTGAGTTGTAGTTTGCATTCGAAGGCGCAAGCTATATTCATGGTTGTAACCAGGTTGGGGGGATTCTGCATTTCCACGTCCACCCGCAAGGGTTCTGCTAACCTAGCGGTGAACATGTCTACCTGCTGGTCCGGTCGCACTGAAGATGCCCTCGCGAGGAGGGTCTGGAACTGGCGATGGTATTCTGCCACCGTGCCGGTTTGTTTAAGGTTAATCAGCTCACCTAAGGGGTTGCTTGTCAGTGGGGGCCCAAATCTAAGAAGGCAGTAGGACTTGAACTGGATCCAACTAAGCCCAGGTTCTTCATGTTCTAATCGATAGAACCAGAGTTGCGCTTCCTCTGTTAAGTGAAAGGCGGCTAGGCTTAACTTATCCCGGTCATCTGTCCGTTGATTTCGAAAAAACTACTCGCACCGGTACAGCCAGCCCAAGGGATCTCCGTTGCCGTTGTACGACGGGAATTCTAACCTGCTGTACTTGGGGATGACTGCGGCCCCCTGGTTTCCGAACTACTGTTCGTTGGAAGACTCCAACAAATCTGGTCGACAACCGCTAGTGGCTGTCACCCCTTCTGTGTTCCTCTCTTTGCTAGAAAGGAATAACTCCATCAGACGSCGTAGCTCCCTGACTTCGTCCTTGATTTCCCGTACTTCCGAGCTGGTCTCCATGAGCCGGTGCTCGAGTTCGTGGACCCTGGACGGCAGCTGCTCCAGATCACCCATGATGCCTTGCTCTGATACCAAAATGTTATGGTCCCGGGGGTAGGATCTCGTCACGGGTCGGTCCACGGGGAGAACCTCTAGTTTCCCCTTACCCCTCCCTTTGCGTGCTGACCCTATCGTGGCGACCTAAGGGGTGATTTGTCCAAGACATCACCCTAACTCTCCTTTACTCTTCTCTTTGACTGAAATTTTGGATCCTTTATTCAATAATAGTGGCTCCTTAAATAGGAGATTACAAGAGTCCTGCTCTTAGGGAGACTCCTTGCTGAATAGGGAGACCTCCAACTCTATCTTGATAAGATAAGATTGATAAGATAAGATAAGTCTCTCTTAATCCTAATCTAATAAGATAAGATAATCTCTCTTAATCCTAATCTAATAAGATAAGTCTCTCTTAATCCNTTAATCCTAATCTAATAAGATAAGATAATCTCTCTTAATCCTAATCTAATAAGATAAGTCTCTCTTAATCCTAATCTAATAAGATAAGATAATCTAATCTACTAWCTTAAWAAKATARSAATAACAAGATARTCTAATMTAATCTGCTGAATGGATAAGACTGTTGCTGCCGAATTGGATAGGATGAGAACACCGGATCATTGCTGCTGCTTCTCCCAATACGCATCCACATCAGTTGCTTTATCCTTTTATGATTCCAAGCGATTAAAGAGCTTCTTATGGGCCTCGTCAATGATTCCTTCTGACATGAGCTTCTTATTTTGATAGAGATATTAAGTTCTATTTAGTGGTGGTTCCCTTAGAAGGCTGTTCAGTGTTCTTTGTTTAGGATCTGAAAGTTGGGCTTTGGTGCTCAAAAGGTCAGTTATTTTGACTCCTGTGGTTAGGTTGCATTTTAGCCATGCATGGGGTGTAATTGTGTATATACAGTATACAGAAGTGTGATGGCCCTTTTTTGACATCTCTCATACACCACTTGTATAGCTTTCTTATTTATTGTCTATCCATCAAAAAGCTAAAATTGGGCTCAACTTCAAAGCTTCTCAATGCATAACGCATTCTAACCATTTTTGTTTGTTAAACTCCAAATAAAATGACTAAACCATTCCACCTAATCTATTATGTAAAAGAAATGCAAGTAGTTTTTTTATTACACTTAACTTGAGAAGGGAAGATTCTAGTGAGTATTAATAATTAACTTTTTTTCTGCTTATCAACCTAGAAAGATGAAAGTAAGCAAAACCAGTAATAATTATAATAATAATTAATGAACTAGAGCATATTACTATATCTCATTAATGCATGCAAGCATCTGCTTGTGAGTGAGGAAGCACACATGTGTCCAGCAGTTATATTGTATGATGTCATGAAAACAAAGAAGTGCTTCTTCCAGTAATACTTACCCCAAGCTGATCAACAACATTCACAGTATAGCGGTCACTAATTGTTGGAGAATAGTTTTCAGAGAATGGCCTGTGCATTTAGAAACCAAGAGAGGATGGCATATTAATAATCTGAAGTCATAGCAGGCTGAAAAGGAAAATCAACAAATTGACCACAAGAGGTGGATTGAAAGTTTAAAGCAGCACAAAAACCTAAATTCAATCTAAAAGCCAATCATTATTCCACCAGAATATTGGTTCAAAAGATATACCTTCCAAGAAATGAATTTAACAATGCAGATTTCCCAGCATTTTTAGGCCCAAAGACAAAGCACTGGAACACACTTCTTTCTGATTGCTGTTTCTTCCGGTCCAACCGTCTCCGCCTAGTTATACGAAGTGCTGAAGCAGGATCGCCAACATATCCAATGTATATTAAATTAGCAAGAGTACAAGCTGGATCCAGTAGTGTCATAAGGGCCCACTGCACCCAAACAAAAATTCCTCAGCAAGTCTACTTGAAAAGGAGAAAATTAGATGATGCTTTAAAATCCAACAATAAACCAATCAAGATGTACCAATTATAAAAAAAGGATTAGAATTCAATGACAATAATCTGAAACGAAAAAAAAAAATTGTAGTAATCATAGACCATAAAGTCAAATGGAAATAAAATTATTTCAGGCATACTTAGAAAATAAAGTTTTAAATGGGAATGCAAAACAATAATAGAGCCAAGTTGCTATGCTTTATAACCTACAAGGCACATCACTATGCTTTTAATCCATGAGGTATGCACTATGAGGCAATTGATCCAATAAAAACACAAGCACTTCAAATAGACATTAACAAATAATAGACAACTAGAAACCACTAGCATCCAAAACAAAAGAAGAGCTTCAACATGAACCCTTCACAGAATACAGCTACCAGAATAAAACAGGCCACTCCTTAACCCACCACCAAGAAAAAGAACCAGCCATTGACACAAGGATCAAAATATCGATATGGGGCGTATCGGGCGAATCGATACTGTTTTTATTTTTTTCTGAAACCGGTTCAGGGGGGCCGGTTTAGGGCTCCTCCATCCCCTGAACCGGTCAGACCCCCGATACACCCACTATAGGTGCGTATCGGAGGAGTCCCAGAACGATACGTATCAGCCAATATGGGCCGGTACATGTTGATACTTTGAACCTTGCATTGACAAGATAGTTGTTGTAATAACAAAAAAAAAGAAAGAAAACAAGAAACTGCCAATCAGAAAAACAAAAAAAGAGGAAAATTCAAGTAGTCAACTTTTTTCATGAAAAATATGAATCTTACGTGAATTAGTTGCAAATTTTTCATATATCATGTATGCATGGAAGCCATGGTAATTTTCAATTTTAAGAAATGCCAGAATTCATGAAACTTACCAGATTCGCAATACAATCAACATAACAGAAACATGCATGAAAAGAATTATCAAATCTTGCTACCTCAAGAAATGAGAATGAAAACAAAAGAAATGGTATAACAAATATACACACCTCAGACAGAAATCCATCAAGTGATAACCCATCTAGTGCAGTCTTCTCTGCAGCATCCTTATATGGAGCTTCTCCCCAAGGACTGGATTTCAAATATTCGAATTATAAATTAGATAAGTTACTGATAAAAATTATAAATTAGATCAGATATAACAAAAATTTTAAGTGAAACAACACTTATAAGTACCCTCCATCAATTTCCCAAAAACACATGATCATAGATTAAAATTAATAGTATACTAGAAAATGACAACACGCAGTTAGGTCTAAGTACAGTGAAAAGAATTCAGCATGGGAAATACTGAAAACTGAGAATCTAGAGTCGCTTCTATTTATACCGATAAACTTCCTCTTACACAATGGACCAAGTGAAATATTCAGTACAAATCACCAGCTCCCTAATGTTCAGTTTCTATTACGTTTTGACAAACCAATGTCAATATAAGCAATCAAGAAAAATCTGCCTGACTCCCAAGACAAACATTGATCATTATTCCCAAGGATAACAAATATTCAATATGAATTAATGTAGAAGAAACAAATTCTATGAAAATATAGGCAAAGACAACAAAACAGACACGGCCACAATTATAAATGTAGCATAGCATGCAGATGCACAGCACGACAGGCATACTAAAATGTTCAGACACAGTATGTACTCACATGAACATGAGAATGTTTATGCATTTTCCTTTTACTTCAGCACAAAGACACATTTATTATCCCTGAGTTTTACTACCCTTTCTTGTTTACTAACACAATGTTCAATTCAAAAGAAAAAAAAAAAGAAATGATAAAAGTACCATGCACAATGAGATCCTAATAAAAATCAAAATTATGGAACCAATTTAACTCTACCAAGCTTGAATATCAAAAGTACCGTATGTGGAGGATTTAAGAAATGACAACAAACACCATAATGCTTTAGTTACAAATAATCTAAGATTATTCAGCAGATAACAAGAGTATACAGGTTTGAAAAACTTTTCCCTCTACCACGAAACCAAAGCAAGACAAAATCCTTTTCCATGAATAATGGCATGTCAAATATCTTTATATATGGCATCAAACATGAATATTATTTTTTTCATAATAACTTGAACATTATTGAAAATGCAAATCATCATCGTCATCCAAGCCTTATCCCAACCAATATGGGGTCATGAATCTTGTTTCACCATTCAGTTCATTATTGAAAATGAAAATGATGAATCAGTTTTTCCCCACATAGATTCCCCCTTATGAGATCCTCTGTTTGAGACTTCTGCCCATCACTAAAAGGGAAGAATCATGTTACACAATCAGAACATCTATCTATGGTGTATTTGAGAAGAGATGAGTCAAAAACTAGCTCCACTCAACTCTGCCTTGATCCCTACTATTTGGGAAGAAATGAATGCTAGGATTTTATTGGATAAAGAGCAAAAGCAGGATTTCATTATGAATTTCATCACAGTCGGAGTGACACACTAGATCCAATTAAGGAGTTTCTTTAATTTCTGTTTCAGAAATCAAGTATTTTTCTCCAAATGTTCTCTCTAGTTGATTGATATTGAAGATTGAATTTTTTGCTTTTGATCTTCTTATACTGATTGCTGTAAGATATTTTCTTATTGTTCTTCTATTTTTCTGCTGGCTTGCAATTTCTGAAGCAAATAGAGAAATGCTAAAGAAGAGAGGAGAGGAGGGAAAAGAAATGTAAGGGTGGGTTGGAACCAATGTAGACTAGGAATACTCCTGCCGCATACTCCTCCAAAAAAATTGCAAGGAAAAGAAATCAATTAACTTACAGAAAATTGCAAATAAGAAGCTGGCATCCCATGAAGAAAAGGATTATAATAATTTGCTGCTTGCCCCAAAAATAGACCTTCAACTCCTCCTATGGCTTTCCTTCTCGGTGACAAAAATATCAGAGTAGACAAAAGCTTATTGAATTTTCTCCCCAATGACCAACCCCTAGCCTACATATATGTACATGTATGCATGCAAACAGATACATACACAAGGGGACAAGATTGAAGAAGGAAGAGAAAGAAAGGGGTTATCATACACAAGAGGACAAGGTTTGGAGAACATGGCATGAAAGCTGGGGTAGTTATGGAGAAGGTAGATGATGATTTGCATAAACATGGAAGCCTTTTTTTGAAGATGAACAAAGAAGAAATTTTATTAATAATAAACAAAGTACAATAGGATCAGGTGATGAGGTATCACCAATCAATACACTCAAAGAAAAAGTAATTCAAACGATCAAAAATACTAAAACAACTTAATACATCAAGAGAAATTCAAAGTATGCTGAACATCCAAGCCAAAGTCTTCTTTTTTGAGGCCTTCAAATTCTGGAAGAATAATCTAAGAGCTTTGAACTAGTGACTGCACCAAGCCTTTCCTTTCTCTTCTTCTTTCCTTCAAAGATTCTTTTATTTCTTTCCTTCCACACCTCCCAACAAACAGCAAAAGAAATGCAACTCCACAGAATTTTAGCTTTGATGTCCCCTGAAACTCTTGACCATAATTCAAAGACCTTTGAAGATCCATTAGGAGCCTGCCCACCCATTCTTAAAAGTGGGAAGAAATAGTCCCAAATTCCTTTCACATAGCTGCAATTCACCAGCAAATGTAGAATATTCTCTTCCTATGAAAGACATAAGATGCATCTGTCTGGAAAGTGAACAACTTTCTTCTTCAGCTTGTCTTGAGTAAGAATGCTGTCCATTGAGACCAACCAAGCAAAAGCCTCCGCTCTTGGGCTGACTTCCCCCAAATTCCTTTAACTGAAGAGGCTTCCACCTGATTCCTAACCAAGGCATTGTAGAGAGACTGTAAACCTTTCTATTTATGAATAACAGAAACTGATTTACTATAATAATAAAGAAAGTGCACAAGGAGATAAGGGAGAGATAAACTCTTAACCCTCCCAATTACAAACAGATAAATTACAATACAAAAAAAATAAATGATCCCTTCCCACACCCTACTTTCCTAATGAATCAGCAAATGAGTTAGAATTCCTTTTCACCCATTGCACATTGATTTCCATTCCCTGAGACAGCCAAGTACTCCTTTTCTCGTTAATATAGCACCACCATCCATCCTCCTCTTCCTTCTTCAACCACTCAATAACTAACTTTGAATCCCCCTCAATTACTAGTTTCTGAATGTTCAGCTCTCTAACCCTTTAAAGACCTTCTATCACAACCATTATTTCAGCCCTCAAAATAAATCCAACACCAATTGATCCCGAGTAGACAGCAATGATACTTCCTTCCTCATTTCTAAAGACGCCCCTTATGCCTGAGCGACCCAGATTTCCTTTACTACTCCCATCAAAATTGAGTTTAATAAAGCCACATGGAGGGGATCAAGTTAGTCTTACCACAACCTTACTAGGAGCTGAGTCAGCAACAACTTTCCAATTCCTCACAAAATCATCTACCAAGATTCCTTCAAAAAGATCAAGAGACTTCACCCAGTGGATCACCCTAATTGTAATGAGTTTAATTAGGGCATCCCTGCTTCTCCCCTTATCAAGAAAGATCCTCTGAATCTTTTCTTCCCATGTTGTCCAACACACAGTCGTCCTTGTGCATCTCCATAAATATCTTCCCCTCTTCTTCAGCCCACTAAGAAAGGTAGAGGCAAACAAGCTTCACACATTTGGCGGGGGGTTCCACCTGCACCCAAACAAAAAGAGAAACCATTCCCATATTGATGGAACAAAAGGGAAAAAGGTTAATAGGTGGTAGAAAGACTTACCATTAGCCTTACAAAGAGAACACCTGTTAGGGGATAAGCACCAATATGGTATTTTTCTTTGAATCACTAATTTGGACTTGACTGTAAACATCCCATTCTCACACCCCTTCCACCATTTTGCATATGCACTCTCCGGATCAATCACAGCTTCTTGCAATTTAGACAACAGTCCCACACATAAACATGTAAGCCTTATTTAGTTGGATTGGTGTTCCGGGTGAGTTGATGTGCAGGCTTCTCTGTATAACAAGAAGTATATTTTTAAATGTTGGAAGATTGATTAATTATTTGTATCTGTAGTTTGCCATGTGTGTGGGGGGTAATAGTTGTTCCCCTTCTTTACTATCAAGTCAAATTAGTGATAAATCAAACTTATAACCAACATAAAGAAAACCCTAAGCCCATTTTAATCAATGTCTAATTAAGCTACGTATCAGGCGCAATGAACCCCTATGAGCAAACTAGTCACCATGGCTGTGCTTACTACATTGCAGAATACATGTTTGTAGGAATGTTTTATGTAGCATGGTCACATGTGTATAACCACTAGTGCTGCAAATTTTGATTCACAGTACCATTTCTTACATGCAAAAGATAGTTCAAATCACCTAAGTGAAAACATATGCAGGCACAACAAAGAACATAATTAAATGTTTGGCAATCAAAAAAGAATGACAAATAACTGTAGTAAAAACATTAGAAAGTATATCTTGGATTGAAATGACAGAAACATATAACAATCACTAATTCAGAAACTAAAGTCACCTTTCAGGTGAAGTTGAAAAGAGATCATCAAGCTCAGCAGGTCGCAAGGCCCCATCCTAATAGACACAAGAGCCACATCTTCAAAGCCTCAAACCTTATGGATTAGAAGATATAATGACCTTAAAAGGAGATCATAATTGATAAGACCTCTTCTAAAACTATGTACATCATACAAGCAGAATTTCGAGAAAACAACCTGCTGAATTCACATCCCAAACAAAATGGGACTGTACTTACAAAGTTACAATGTTTTTTTTATTTATTATAAAAAATGATAAGGGAAAAAGAAGAGAATACATACACCATCAATATCGAACAAGTTAAAGATCCCCTTCAGAAACTCCACAGCTTCAATTGTCAGTTCTACACTCTACAGTATTAACATTATATCAGTACTTCAAAATTTTTTCTAACAGGTAACATGAAATTTTAGGAGCAGAACAAAAGAAAGGGAATAAAATGGAAACCCAAACAGGAAAAACCGAAAAAGGAACAATATAATCCATTTGATAGGGCAACTTTATACCCTAACTCATCACTTTCATGGCACAAAGGAAACTCCAGTACCGCTATCAGCTATTCTTAACTTGTTTGCTGGCAAGCTCAACAACAACATATGGAGAAAAAAGTACAAAACTCTACGTGGTACAAGGTTAATAAAAGAGAATAGGATTGAGAATGAAAAGCCAAAATAGAAGTATATTTCCAACAAGAGACCAGCAAGCTTGTAAATTAGTATTTAAGAATCTGGTCTAGCACAAAACCACATGCAACCTCATATACATCCCATTGCACCATCACAGCATGAACATCGTATTTTGTGTATACGAAAAAAAGGCAATCACTCAATGTTGGTCTTAGCAATTTTGTGTTGTGTATTGAGACACTAAAATAATCATGGGCATGCTAGCTCTTAGAATGGAAAAAGGCATTTCAAACAAGCAAGATTAACAGGCCTTTTTTCTTCTGACCAGTGATTAAGAAGTCTTACTCATGCTATTTTTCCAACAAAGGTGACCATTGAAGAAGAAAAGGAACCAATGGCAAATTAGATAGCTGAAAAGTGTGGCAACAACAGTGATTTAATGTGCGCCTAGGCACACAAACGAGGTGCATTTTGGGGTATGCGCCTTGCCTAGGTCCTAGGTGGAGCCCTTTCAAAAGGCACACACCTGGTGCGCCTTGCGCTTTAGCCCAAGCATGTGCCTTTTTAAAATTTTATGCTTTTTTGCTATTTTAGAACTTAGCAGCTGGGCTGGGGGCTCTACCCCTGGACATCCCGACCATGCCCCTCAAGGCAAGCCTAAACAAGTCCATGTTAGGGTCTTAAATACTTAAATCTCACATATAAAATAATGACTTTATAACTTTAGTTTGCCTTCTAAGAAGATATTTTATTAAAATGAATGAATGAACAACATTAGCAAATAGGGGTTTTCGCAATGTACTTGTTTGGGCTTGTTTGGACTTGTTTGGGCGTCATTGCCCAAATGCTTGACTTCAAGTAACTAGGAGCCTGTCTAGGCAACTAGGCACCTGCCTAGGCGACTAGGAGCCTGCCTAGGCAACAAAAATGACAATGTGGGCGCCTTATTATAATATCATTTATATTGATGCATCTTATTAAATATGTGTTAATACATTCTATTTTAATAGCATTTATATTGTTGTATCTTATTAATATGTGTTAATACAGGGCGTCTAGGCAATGGAATTTGAAAATATAAAATCTATAAACACCTACCCTCCTAAGCTAGTTTATTGGTTTTGTATACCAATCAACAAACCTGTACATTAACTATCAGCAACAAAATCTTTCAAATAAGTATGAATTTCAAGTAAAAACATAAAATGCCATCATATATTCATCATTTAAATATATTAATTTCAATATTTAACTAAGAATTCAATAAAGCGAATAAGCAACTATTTCTTTTTTTTTATCAGCAACAAGAAAGTTAGTTCATTAAATTAAAATAGAAAGACACAACAAGAGGTTGTGAAAAAACAGCAAACGCAAAGCCATCCCAAATTTACAACTAAGCCCAAAACATGGGTTGTTTCTGAATTCCTTGTTTACCTAGGCCATCTGCCATGCTATTTTGCAGATCTTATAATCCATCTTATTTGGATGAGCATATCTTTAGATAACTGTTTGAAGCACCTGGACTCATTCCTTAGATCCCAAATTACCCCTTCTTCCTTTCTCAGCCAGCCCACAACTATTTTTGAATCACCTTAAATGATTAGTCTCTCAATCTCCATCTCTTTATCCTTCTCCGCCCCCTAAACTGCTGCCATTAGTTCTATCTCACCACATCACCTTGCTGAACAGGACCTGAATACATTGGTAGGATGCTACCATTTTCCTCTCTACTAACCCCACCAAGACCAGATGGGCCAGGATTCCCATACAGCTACCATCAAAATTCAATTTCTTCCATCCAGCACATGGGGGTGACCAGGTCTCTATAATTCTTTGTCTGCTGGAGGAGGAAACAGCAATTAAACCCCACGAGCCAAAAAAATCTTCAACTTTAAAATCTGCAAAGCGCTTTAAAGTTTTCACCCAATGAGCCACCCTTAAAGTTATTACTTCTATCACAGCTTCCTTCTTTTCATGTTTTAAAAAATTCTTAGATTCCTTTTCTTCCCAAAGTCTCCAAGCCACTGCTGCTCTAGTGCATCTCCCTAAAATCTTGCCTCTTCTTTTATAGCACGTGAAAACAGGATATCTAAAAAGTCCCTCCAATCTAACAGGGGGAGCCATCTGCAACCAAAAAGAGAAGAGAACCACTACCAAATAAGAGCAAAAGGACAGGAAACTAAGAGGTGAAAAGCAATCTCACCAAACAACTTGCAGACCAGTTAGGAATTCAGAATTTGCTTATTGAAGGAAACTCCAAAGTTGTTGTGGGTTGGTTAAAAAATCCAAATTCAGTTATTTGGTGCTACAGGGACATTATGAGGAAAGCTAATTGGTTTACAAGGAACATGTGTTAATTCTCAATGGGTGGGTAGAACAGCTAATACCATAGCAGATGGGTTAGATAAGCAAGGGGTATCAAGGGAACACTTATTCTGGGCAGCTCTGTAAACTCTCATTTCCTAGTCTGATGTAGTACATTGTTATTGTTGAGAAGAGGTACCAGCTTGTGCCTCTCCTTGGGCAGTTTGTATTGTAATACCATATTGCTTCTTCTGAATAAAATATCACAAAAAAAAGAAACACCAGATTGGGGACAAGAACCAGTTTGATCTTTTCCTCTAAAGCAAATCACATGTATTAATGGAGGCATGAAAGATGAAACACTTCTCAATAGAAAGCACTAATTTGGGGCATCATAAAAACCAACATAAAGTACATTGGGAGGTTTGCTAGAGTTGACTTGATCAATGTAATTCTCCCTCCAAAGGAGATATAATTCATTTTCTAGCTTTCTAGCTTCTTCTCAAACCTTTCCACCATTGAGGTCCAAAAACTAGTCGCTCTAGGATTGCTACCTAAGGGTAAACCTAAGTAGCTCAGGGACCAGTTTCCTTTTTCACAGCCCAAAGATTTTGCCATTGCTCATAAATCATCATCTTCCAAATTGATACCAACCAACAGACTTTTAGACCAGTTAATTTTCAAGTTGGAAATCCTCTCAAAAAGCTTCACTACTAACTTCAGATTTTCCACCCCATCTTGGCAATCTCCATCACAGAAAACCAGGATATCATCTGCAAATAGCAAATGGGAAACCAAGACTCTATCTCTTCCTATTACCCAACCCTTAAACATCTACAAGGAATTTGCCTTATAGATCAATTTTCCTAAGACCCCAGCTACCAAAGTAAAGAGAAAGGGAGAAAAAGGATCGCCTTATCTAAGACCTCGAAGTCCCTCAAAGAAATCAACTACCAAGCCATTAACAATAACAGTGACTTGTTTGCAAGCAACCTCTGATTCATTCACCACAAACTCCCAAAACCACACCTCCTCATATTCTCCATCATGAAATCTCAGCCCACAAGATCATAGGCTTTCTCCAAATCCAATTTGATTGCTACTCTCTTCTTCTTTAACCTTTCTTGGGCCTCCACACATTCATTAGCAATTAAGATTTGGTCTATTATTTGTTCATCCTGAATAAAGGCCCCTTGGAACTGGAAAATGAGAATGGACCACCTTTTTGAGTCTCGGGGGCAAAACCTTGGCCGCAATCTTATAGATGCTGGTCACTAAGCTTATAGGTCTAAAGTCCCCTAGTTGAGAAGCCTCTATCATTTTTGGGATCAAGGCTAAGAAGGTGGAGTTCATTCCTAGACTGATTATTCCCCTTCTATGGAATTCCCTAATGTTAGACAGTGTATGCCCTTAGCTCCAATTAGCTTGATGTACATTATGACATTTATTGTAAATGAATAAAGTACAAGTTTGATTCATGTTATATGGGTGTGTTTCTATGTAATACTCTTAAACTGGACACTTATGAGACTCATGATAGTTTAGAATCTTCATAGCCATTGGATAAATCTGGGAAGATTTATCCCGCCAAGGCTGACACTAATGTGCCACCAAGTGGGTTGGTGGCTTGTCTCAACTGCTAGGGTGAGACTTGAGGTACATGCAGTGTGGGTTTTCTTGAAATCCTGAACCGGACCAAATTCCAGTATTGCCCTGGACCTTGGAGACAGTGGGCAAAATTGGAATGTTACACTTGACCCCTAGACTCGATTATGGTATTGCACTAGGTGTCAGATTGGGCTGTCTTTGATATGCCAACCAGTGAGATCCTTAGAGGGGGTCAAAACCTGGATGTGTTGGGGCAGTCCGCGAATTCACCTGAGTGGGTGATCATAATGACAGGATCAACCCCTTTGTCGGACAAAGTGAATGATTGGGGAATGCACTCTCTGATGAAAACCTAAACTGCCGGCAGTTGATTTCAAATTGTTGATATTTGTTTTGCAAAATATATTTATATAGAGATATACATATATATTATGGTTTCACAAAATGTTTGCAAAAAGTTTTAATTCCCAGGATCCATGTGAGTAGAGAGTGCCACACTATACCTTGTAGCCAAGGGAGAAGTCCTCTGTTGTTGAGCAGTGTTTGATCATTATGAGCTGAGAGGTTAAATGTAAGACCATTGAGGGTAATACCTAACGGGCTAATCTTGCATCTGTCCACAGTCCTTGTTCCTTCATAAGGTGGTTGGACCCAATGACCATTTAGTGTAAATGTTGGGCCCATTAAGAGCCCATATTGATGGACTCAGGGGTTCACTGTGTTCTGTAGTGAATTCGGCCAAGCCTTGTAACAGAAGCTGGGTTGAACCCATGTGGCTAATGTGTAGATCAATGCTAGGGTCCCACGCCATACAAAGAGAGCCAAGTTAACCAGTATTTAAAGGGAAAGTGAGCTATGTGACTAAATGGGCCTAAAGCCCATTTCGAACTAGGCTTAAGTGAGTTAATTAAAATGGGGCAAATTTTGAATTATAATCTGATCAGGATTAGCTAAAGGATAAGATAAGTCTTATCCATTTAAGAGTTCAGATCCAAATATCTGATTTGGATCAAAAAACTCTTTCCTAATTGGATTAGGAAGCTTATCCAAAGAAGGCTATAAATAGGGGGCGAATTCAACAGTTTAAGCACTCAACAATATGTAGAATTCTTCCCTAGTTCTTGCCACTCCTACCAATTCGATCTCCACTCTTGGATCTGATCAAGAATAATTCTTCATATTGTTTCTTGCTAGAAGAAACAATCTAAAGTCGTGTTCACCAGGCCCTTACGTGATTCTTGCTGAAGAATTAGGGTTCTTGCTGAAGAACCATTTTGTCGATCCTGCCTCATCATACATTGTGTCATCTTTAGTGGAAGCAGGTTTTGGTCACTTCTTTGGGCGTGAACACCTATGTTGGGAGGAGCTTTTTGTGTGGATTCCGTATCAGGTATTCCTCTCCCTAATCTTGGTTTCAGATTTGGTCTGGTTTGTTTCAAGAACGAACCTTGAAAAATGCAGTTTTTCTAAATCAGGGAATAAGATCCCCGGATGAAATAAAGAAAATTTTGAAATTTCGCCCAGCCACCCTACATGGTTCAGCCATCCATATGATGGATCTCCCATCCCTTCACCTAAAAACTTTGATCAAATCATCTTTGATTATCTCCCAAAAGTCTTAAATGAAAACCATTTTGTAACCATCAGGCCCAGGAGCCTTAGATCTGCCTGGAGAGAAAACTACTTCCTTGATTTCTTCCTCCTCAAACCTTTTTTCTAAGAACTCCACTTGATTCTCTCAGTCCACTTGCTTGGTTGACACTTTAACCACATAATCACATCCAACATCAAAGTTTAGTAGTTTGGTTTAAGTACCTTTTTTTATAATTTTTGGCTTAAGTACCTTTTACACTTACAAATTTTCAAGTTAAAAATAAACTTCACTTTTATTAACACCTAGAAAACTGAATACCTATTTTCACATGCTACACAGACTCAATCCCCTAGCCAAATGCTTGAGAAAGGCCACTTCTTCCTTTAAATAGGCAAATAGAGTCATAAGAAAACATTCATTAAATTCAAACAATGTGAATCCAAGAAGATGTAACATCAGTTATTGATATAAAGAGGATCCAGCATCAGTTGAACAAGAAAGATACTAAGATACCTGATCAGGAGCTCGTTTGAATGAAACAGGAAATAGATCATCCCTTAGTTTAATATCATTATCATATCCAAATTTCCTCAGAACAGTCCATGTTGTCTCAAGGCGCCCTTTTTCTATGAAAAGTGCATGGAGAAAAAGGAAACCAGTCAAGGTAAGACCACGGCTGTTCACCCCTTCTGGCAGCTTCTCTTGAACAACCCTCTTAACACCCACAATTTCAGATGGTTGCAGAGGAGCATTAAAGCATTTCACCTGTTTACAAGTATCAAAAATCATTTCATAATTTGAATATAATGCTAATGCATAATGTATATTATAAAGAGCTAACCTGAAAATCATTCAACTCTGCGTCACTCAGAGCACCATCCCTGTCATGATCACATAAAATAAATATGCGTTTCAAAGCCCTGACACACCGAGGCTTTAGGGTCTGCGTTTCTTGATCAAATAGTGGGGCTGTGGGATGAAGCACTGCTTTCTGAGCATAGTAGAAAACCTCAGGTACCTGAAACAAACACACAGTTAAACATATAAACAAAAAAATGAGACAGGCTACTTAAACAATATAACCCAGCAGGAAAGAGATTTTTTGGCTCACTGCTGCCATCTGCCGATACAGCAGAAACTGTTACTAGTGGTGTCATTAGGGTCATTTCCGATCAACGAAACATACTAAATAAATGTGAACCCAAATAATAACATATATTAAAAATAAGGGAAAAAAAGAGTAGGTAAATACCTGAATTTGGTTAACCGCAGAACATTCTATACAGGTCTCAATTTCCCGAAACTGTTGCATGATAGGGGACATCACCTGCTCCAGGCTAACCTGCTGATTATCGTCTCTCAGATCCAGCTTGCAACCAACCACAATCACCGGAACCTTTACCTGAAGTTTAAAATATAACAGTAAAAAATGAATACAAATAGACAATCAGGGGAAAAAAAGTATAACAAACGCAACCACAAGACTAAAACCAAGACTCATGTGGTGGAAAAGGACATATCGTAAAGCATATAAAACCTCAAGACGACGCAGTTCTGGGAGCCAGAATGTGCTCAATCGATCGAGTGTTTCAGGCCGATCGCATGCATAAGTCAGTACCACAGCATCAGCATGCTTCAATTCTTCAAACAGCTTACCTATACTGTTATAGCTGACAAAATAGTCAAAACAATCAAATTAGAATAAAATTATGAAGCAAAAACAAAAAAAAAAGAAAATCAGAACGAAATATGAATAAGAGTTTGAAACTCAAACTTAAACACGGGAAAAAAAACCTTGATGATGTATCGATGATTGTAAGCGGCACGCGATCAGGATAGAAATCTGCCGGCAACCGCGTTGGCGGCAATACTGGTGGAACATTGCTGGGAAACGCCTCAGCTGCAGCTGTCACAATCAAGCTCGATTTCCCGGTACCGGGATCTCCGACAACGACGATACGAACATTGGTTCGACCGCCCAAGCTTAAATTTCCAGCAGACCCGGCCATTAAAACTGAGGGAGCACCGTTGGAATGAATAAGATCTTATGTAAGCTTAACCGATCAAACAGATAATATCTGTATATTTACATGTAAATAACAAAACCAAAACAAAAAATTCAGAAACCCTAATTCCATTTAATAAACAGGAGAATGAAGCGACGATATAGACCTAGAAACGCTAATTTCTTTAGCTTAAAAGGCTTCAAACGATTCCTCGACGGTTGAATAAGCCGCCCAAACCCTAAACCACACGCCGGAAGCTACGAATGCTTGCAGAAAAAAAGCTAAAATTTTGCACCGATGAAATAACGAGCGCTTAGAACATAAATGTTTTTATTTTATTTTTAATAAATTAACGGAAAACTCCAAAAACCGCCGAAGGGAAGGGTGAATGGGTGATCATGGGCTGGACCGGATTTAGCAGCTGCAAATACAACAGAGATAGCCCAGGCCGGGGCTTGGTTCGGGCATTCGGCTAGAGTCCACATCGTCTGTCCCCTAGGGATTAAATGGAATCCTCCTTGTATAAGAACTTCAAAAATCAACTTTGATGCATCCAAGGGAGAGAATGGTTTATGCTCATTTGGATGTATAGCTAGAGATTTCACTAGTCGAGTTCTAATTGCAAAAGTAGGATCAGTTGGCATCACTTCTGTCAATGTAGCTGAAAGTTGGGCTACAATGAAAGCTCACGGGATTGCTACTCAAAGCAAGTACAACAACATTTGGATTGATGGTGACAAAGTTGGTCATTGATAGTCTGTTCAAAAATGTCCCCCTTTGTGGAAATGCTCAATGCTAATTCATGAATGTAGCATCATCAAAGAGAGCAAATCATTATGTGTAGCTTATTCTCATTCTCATACATGGGAGAAAGGGTAACCAAGCAGCAGACTAGTTAGCAAACATAGGTCACTCAAGCTCTTCATTGGGATCTAAGTTTCATTTGTATGATTGATACCTTGGGTAGAATGTCTCTCCATTAGGTTCCTCTAGGGTACAATGAAATTACTATTTGAAAAACTATTTAAATATGCCTTGTTTACTTTTCAAACATGATCACTAACAAATAAAATTTAATGGAAAAAAGTGTCTTTAATTGTTCATTAAATTTTCAAAACATGCCTTATTTCTTCTTGATGTTGTTCAATCTGAGGTTGTGCACGAACTGAGGAGAACAACCAAATAGTCCTTATTGGCAGGGTGGGACCGAGATACAAGGACGAGGTCGCGCTTCAAGACCTATGATCAAGAAAGGAGAAGTTAGAGGCCCGAGGAGTTATCCCCGGGTAAGTACTCCGACACTCGAGTTAGTGGGAGGTGGTAGATGGTCGGGCCGAGCTAGATAACAATGTGAGTGCTAGAGGTTCCAGTCCCTTACCTTGAGCATGAAGCACCTTTTTATAGTCGGGGTTAAGTATCCTAGTCGAATTAGGCTTTCGGGGAGATCGGGATGGAGTTCTCTGCTACCAGGGTAGAGCCCTACTCCTCGGCAGAGTTGTCTCCCCACCCCCTTATCCACAGTTGAGCTTATCCGTGGGGGCGTGTGGTTGATGTGGCTGGAGGGATGAAACAGGGGGCCACGATAATAACATAGCTCGATCAGGCTGAGCCAACGTGACTAGGTGGCCACGTGTCTCTCAAGACTAGGTGGCCACGTTCTCCTGATTCGTTGCTCGATTAAGGAACTTCCACACTATTGTCTGGTTCCTTCGCTTTCCGTGCAATGTTGGTCGTTGCCGAGGAATCCTTCGATCGTCGGCTACAAAGCTTAAATAAGAACCGAAATTTCGATTCCCGAACCACTCCCCCAGTTATTTTGTTGAGGAGGGGGAATGCTCGGCCAGGCTGTTGCGCATTCTTTTTACTTGTGCATTTTTCTTTTACTGGCCGAGGCATGGCCGATCGGGCTATCACGTGTCAAGCCAGGCTATGCCTCGGCATCCTCGGCCTTCTGCCGACTAAGGTGTGGTGGACCGAGGTCTTTTGGTCTTGGAAGCCTTTGGGGCCCTTTTAGGGCTAGTTGTTTCCTATCTAGCTCAATCATTAGTCGACAGTTGTGCAGAGTTCCACGACCACCCTCAGGCCTCGGTGGACGGGGGCGTTCTTTCTCCACGTTTAGGCTCAACTGTGGTCAACTGAGTCAAGCAGCTTAGTCGGCGATATGTTGTTGAGCTGGGCATTATGGGCTTGACTGTTCTAGGGTTGGCAAAGTCAACTTGGTCGGTAGTGCTGCTTGGTTTGTGCATGTGTAGTGTGTGCAGTGAGTGTGTATGGGCCTAGGAGCCGAAGATGTAGCTTGAAAAGAAGAAACTTTTATTGCTTCTAGATCTATTGGTAGTACATCCTGAGATTTCCCGAGTTCCAATTCCTTGGTATTGGTCGGCCTTTGAGGTCTTCGAGTTTATAAGTGCTCAGTTTGAGGACCTTGGTGATTTTGTATGGCCCTTCCCAATTTGGTTCGAGCTCGCCTTCTCCGAGTGCGGGGACTATGACTCTACATAGGATGAAATCTCCCGTCTTGAATTCGCGTCTTCTTTGGAGTCGTAGTGTTTTGCCATCCTCTGTTGTTGTGCAGCCATTCTTACAAGTGCTCGGTCTCAGACTTCTTCTACTATGTCCAATTCCACGCGCAGATCTTCATCATTCTACCCTTCGTTGAATAGCTCAGTCCAGAGAGTTGGGGGAACCTATCTCCACGGGACTATGGCCTCGGCCTCGTATGTCAGGCTGAAAGGGGTCTCTCCGATGGCGGTTCGCGTGGTTGTCTTGTACACCTAGAGTATGCTCGGCAACTCCTCAACCCACCTTCCCTTGGCTTGATCTAGGTGCATTTTCAGGCCGTGTAGTAGGGTTCAGTTGGTTACCTTGGACTGCCCGTTACTCTAGGGTCGGTGTACTGCGATAGTCCAATGATCGATCCTTAGGTCGACACAGAGGGTTTCAAACTTCTTGTTGGTGAACCGTGTCTCATTATTTGTGATGAGAACACGCAAGGGATGTTGAAGCGGCAAATAATACCCTGTCAGAAGAAGTTCCAGGCATTATGCACGGTGATGTGTGCCAAGGCTTTGGCTTCCACCCACTTCGTGAAGTAGTCCACTGCCAGAAGAAGGAATTTCTTCTGTGCAACCATGGTGGAAAAGGGGCCGAGGATGTCCATTCCCCATTGAGCGAACGACCACAGGCTGGTGATTAGCTTCAAGGGGGCCACAGGCTGGTGATGGAGATTGGAGTGTCGCTAGCAACTATCGCACCTCCGAACTAATTGGGCAGCGTCCTACTTCATCGTAAGCTAAAAGCAGCCCTGCTGGAGTGCCTTATGTGCCAATGTACGTGCACCGGGGTGATCTCCGCAAATGCCCTCATATATCTCCTTGAGGACATAGTCTGCTTTAGCTGGGGGAGACACTTCAGGTATGGGAGAGTGTGGGAGCGGCGGTAGAGCTAGCCCTGGATAAGGCAGTACCAGGCTGCTCTGTGTTGGAGCTCCTTTGCTTCTGCTCGGTCTTTTGGGAGAGCGCCTTCTCGTAGATACTCAGTTATGGGGTCCATCCAAGATGAGCCATGCTGTATTGGGAGGACGAGAAGGGTCGTTGGTGCGATGCTCGACTGAGTTAGTGTATCCAGTTGTATCGTCGAGTCAAGGTCGGTCTGAGGCGAGCTGGCTAGCTTCGAAAGGGCATTGGCTCGGGTGTTCTCAAGTCGAGGGATCTACTGAATATTAAAATGCTCGAGATGCTAAGTGAGCTCCTGCACCTTTTGCAGATAATTTTCCATTGAGGGGGTTTGAGCCTCGAACTAGCCGTGGATTTGGTTGACCACCATCTGCGAGTCGCTGAAGGCCTCAATTCTTTGGGCTCCGAGGTCCAAAGCAAGGTAGAGCCCAACAACCAGGGCCTCATACTCGTTCTCATTGTTGGACGCCTTGAACACGAACCTGAGGGCGTGTTCCAACACTGCATCATCTAGGCCGAGGAGGATGAGGCCGACGTTGCTACCTTGTTGGTTCGACGAGCCATCTACGTGCAGAGTCCATACTGGAGGCGACGGGGCCGGTTCCTCGGTAGTGAATGTACATTCTACGATGAAGTCTGTCAGAGACCGGGCTTTGATCTCCGACCGGGGTGCATACTCGATATTGAACTCACTTAGTTCTACGCTCCACTTGACTAGGCGGCTAGATACTTCTGACCTCTATAGTATTTGCTTAAGGGGCTGGTCAATGAGTAGTCAGATGCTGTGGGCCTGGAAGTAGGGTCTGAGCTTTCTGGCGGCTATGACGAGAGCTAAGGCTAACTTCTCCAGGTTGGAGTATCGGGTCTCTAGGCCGCTAAGGACTTTGCTAGTGTAGTAGATCAGGCTCTATACTCGGTCTTCTTCCTTAATTAGTATTGAGCTGATGACCTCGTCTCCAGCTAAGAGGTAAAGCAATAACTCGTCCCCTAGGTTTAGCTTGGTTAGGAGGGGCGATGAGCTCAGGTACTTCTTCAACTCTTGGAAAGACTACTCACATTCTTCGGTCCAGCGGAAATCTTTTGGCCGCTTAAGTTCTTTGAAGAAAGGGAGACAGCGATCAACGAATTTGGACATAAATCTGTTAAGGGTGGTTATTCTTCCGGTGAGTCACTGCACCTCTTTATGGGTTCGGGGAGATGGCATGTAAAGGATGGCCTTTATCTTCTCCAGATTCGCTTCGATTCCTCCCTATGTCACCATGAACCCTGGGAACTTACTAGAGCCGACCCCAAAAGTGCACTTGGTTGGGTTTAGCTTCATCTTGTATTTTCTTAGGGTGTCAAAGACTTCGTGAAGGTCGGCCAAGTGATGTTCATCTTTCTTGCTCTTCATGAGCATGTTGTCAACATACGCTTCTACATTTCGTCTGAGTTGTTTTTTGAATACCTCATTCACCAACCGCTGATAAGTGGCGCCGGCGTTCTTGAGGTTGAAGGGCATTACCCTGTAGCAATACAATCCGCGGTTGGTGATAAAAGTTGTTCGCTCCTGATCATCCGGGGTGCATTCGGATTTGGTTGTAACCTGAGAAGGCATCCATGAAGCTCAGTAGCTCATGCCCCGCCGTTGCATCGACGAGTTGGTCAATCCTCAGCAGGGGGAAGCTATCTTTGGGGCAGGCCTTATTTAGGTTGGTGAAGTTGATGCAGATCCTCCACTTTTCGTTGGCCTTCTTCACCATTACTATGTTGGCCAGCCAATCGGGGTACTTGACTTCCCGACTAAAGCCGGCGTCGAGTAGTTTCTATACTTCATCGGCGATCGCTTGCCACTGCTTAGTAGCGAAGCTCCTCTTTTTCTAATTCAAAGGTTGGTAACGTGGGTCGACGTTCAGCCGATGTGTGATAACTTCAAGGTTGATCCCGGGCATGTTTGTTGTTGACTAAGCGAACACATCAGCATTGTTCCTTAATAGTTGCACAAGTTCTTCCTGTGGCCACAATCATCGTCATCAGTGAAGGTGATAGATAGACTGCGCTTCTTCTTGTAGCCACAATCGTCGATCTCGCACAACCAAGCATATTTCT